TTTTATGTTAATCTTCAACCTGAGTTGCCATTTATTTTTTCCTGTGAGGCTCCTAGTCTTTAATATCTAAAAAGTGAAAAGAGACAACAGCCTCTCCACACTGGGAATAGCTGTGCCTATTGAAATTAACTGGTGCAGTTTCTCATTTCATGTCGTTGTTGAAAATTGCCCAAGTTCTGTACATTCATACTCAGTAAACAAAGAATCTGAAGTTATCCACAAGCACCAGCACAGCTTTAACAAAAAAGAAGAAAGTCTAAAACTCAACAAAGACTGGCTCTCAGCACTGAAAAATACAGCCTGCAAAAAGGTCAATGAACAAAGACTGGTGATCACTGCACACAAAAGACTAGCCAATGACACCGATCAATCACAGTGACAGATAATTCCCCCCTCCTTATCACAACAAAACACCCATTAAAAAAACACCCTGGTCACAGGAAACACCCGATCTCTGGAAAAGACAGATAATTCCCCCCTCCTTATCACAACAAAGCACCCATAAAAAAAAACCCACCCTGGTCACAGGAAACACCCGCTCTTGAAAAGACAAAAAAACTGATTACACAGCTACAAATACTCAACAATCCCACACACTACACCTGAACACAGAATTCCAGCTCCTTTCCTCTGAAGATGCTGGCCACAGGGAATGGCGAAAAGTGAGGAAGAAAAACCTCCAGAACACATCCAAACAGCCCAGAAAACCTACAACAAATATTTGTGCCTACAGTTTTTCCAGAGCTGTAAGACTTCTATTCAGAAGTAATTTCTGTGCATATGAAACAAAGAAACAATGTACAGTGGACCCTCTACTTACGGAATTAATCCATATTGGAACGGTGGCTGCAAGTCGAAAAGTCTGTAGGTCGAATCTCCATTGACCTACAATGCATTGAAAACCGATTAATCCCATAACTGGCAGTTTTTATTCTATTTTTGTTCCATTTTGGCTTTTTTCTGGTCTGTAAGTCAATTCTCTGGCTGCAAGTCGAATCTAAATTTTGCAGCCAAAGAAGTCTGTAACTCGAAAAGTCTGTAAGTCGAGCCGTCTGTAAGTCGAGGGTCCACTGTAGATTAATAAAGCCTATAGAAGTAGATAAGCTGATGTTGCCTGGAATTATTGCAACAATGGAAAGATTTATGCCTTGATGCTCTGATGAATGTTGATGTATCTGGGAATGATTGGCTAGTTTCAACTACCCAATGTGACAAACACCGGCTTCTGAATTTCCCCTGAAGCCCCATGGAGTTCTGCAGGGCTTTTAGAGACATGGTCAGGCATTAAAATCCCTGACCTGGCAGGCTGAAGGACCTGAATGGATTTAAGTGTTTATCAAGTCATCCACCCTCTAAGATGTCAAGTCAGGTGTAAACAGACTTTCAAGCACCATCATTCTGGGGGCTTTATCATCCTGTTTATGATAGGTGTTGTTTATTTATTCATTACTGGAATGAAATGGTGAAAAGAATTAAGTGATAGCTTGGCTGACTGACAGGTAAATGCTTGTCAAATACACTGACAATTGCCAATAAGTTATAATTTGCTGAGTAACTGCAGGTTTGGCGGGGGGTGGAGAGGAAGGCATTGAAAATGCAAAACAAACTGAATGTGTTTATTTCTTGCACATCATGTGGCAGATGTAATGAATGGCTCAGCATATAAAAAGGATTTAAAATTATTATAAACTGCTCTGTGCATACAAATATCATCTGATTTCAGAAGTGCCTTTGGAAGCTTTCACACAACCTTCTCTGATCTCGAAAGAATTGAGATAAACGCATAAAGGGCTTTTAACCAAAGATCAACAACTAAAAATATACAGCAATTGAAGGAAATGGGTCTACAAACAGACTGGTGGGTGATGCTGAAATTAGAATCAAAGTTCAAAAAAAGATAAAATAATGGGCTTTTATGAAGGGAAGGTATAGGTGGATGACTTATGGATCTATACAAGTGATAAGATTATACAAAAATGTATACTTTTTGTTAGAAAAAAAAATTAGAAGATGAAAGGATGAAAGCAGTAATGATTAAATGGGCACAAAATTTTGGTTATAATATAGACATAGAAGATTGGACTTGAATATGGAATGATAACTATAAATGGATTAAGCCAATAAACCTCAGAGAAAATGTCTTAAAGATGTTCTATAGATTCTATAGATGGCATCTCACACCTGTAAAATTGGCAGAAATGGTGTCAGGGGATAGTAACTCATGTTGGAATTGTGATAAGCAACCTTATCACACTTCCATATGTGGTGGACATGGGATAAAGTAAAAAGATTGTAGAGACAGATAAAAGATATTACACAAGAAATTATACAACAAAATACAGTACAACCTTTAAACCAAAAATGTTTTTACTGGATATAATGCCAGAAATCGTTGATAAAAAAATTAAATACATGCTGTTACACATATTCACAGCTGTAAGGCTGATTTGAGCCCAATGTCAATGGAGCAAAATGCCATGGCACCCTATGAGAAGAGGCTTTCTCCTTTCAAGCTTTTCTCTAAGATCTTAGTTTGGGATCCCTTTCCAAGAGAGGAGCATTTTCCTTCTCCCTAATCCAGCCCATCATCCTACTGAGTCTTTCTGGGATTCCCCCATTTGGGACATACAGTAGAAAGAGGTCCTGCTGGATTTCTCTATCCGGAGAGGACCAATCACTTTGCCCGTCTGCATTAGATTAGGTAGCTATAATGTTTTAATTTCTATTTTTGCCATATGTTGATTTGCCAGGTTTGCTGCCCTATAGTTGGGAATGTTTAGGCCTGCTTCTAAAAGTCAGGGAGGAGGGCGTTTAGGTGATGCTAACCCTTCAAGCAGTTGCTCATTTCCTAGATTTCAAATCCCAGAGATTTCATTTAAAATTTCTTTGAGACTGAATCTATTCAGCAGGCTTTATTGAGAATGGAATACAGTGGCAACTCGCAAGACGATTTTAATTCATTTAATGGAAATCACTGTCTTGCAAAAACACCGTCTTGTGAAACCCCGTTCCCCTTTGGAATGCATTGAAATCTATTTAAAACCCCATTCCCCTTTGGAATGCATTGAAATCTATTTAATGTGTTCCAATTGGGAAAAAAAAATCACTGTCTTGTGAAAATTATCCATAGAAGACATCATCTTGCAAAACACAGTTCCCCATACCATTTTGGGGAAAAGCAATCCCCTGGCCTGCACTGCCTTTGATAACTCCAGGAATCTCAGGTGGCCTTTCCCCTCTTTCTCTCTCCAGCAACAAAGAAAGAGGATAAAAGGAGTCAAAGCAGCCCCCTGGTTCTTGACAATGGTAACTCCATTTGCTCTGATCCTTTATCACAGAGAAAGAGAGAATGGAATGTAAAACACCATCAAGATTTGATAGCTTTGAAATAACTCCTGATGAGGAAAAATAAAAATGAGAAAAAACTTAGGAAAACTAGTGTTACTCACAAGTGCAATCTTTCATTAATACAAACTATGCAATTAAGTTCCCACACTTGGGGAAATCCCAGGGAACAACAGCACACCCAAAATACAATAGATAGGCCTCTCCCTAGAAAAACCACTTCTAGGACATAGCATTTCTATTGCAATGAATGAGCAGGAATAACCCTTACATCTCCTACCCCATTCTGTCCCCTAACCCCCAAAGTCATGGTGACTCTCAGGCTGCAACTTCCACTCAGTACAGGTCTGCACAGCCCCAATCCTGCCAGAGGCCAAGAGAGCTCTTCAATGTTTTGGGGTGCCCTGTGGGATCCCCATCAGGAGCTAAGTGTTCCTCCCACAATCCTCTAGTGCACATATTAGCATATGCTAATACCTTATGCTAATCCCTGTGCACTAAAGGATTGTGGGAGGAACACTTAGCTCCTGATGGGGATCCCACAGGGCACCCCAAAACACTGAGGAGCTCTCTTGGCATCTGGCAGGACTGGGGCTGTGCAGCCCTGCACTGAGTGGGAGGTGCAGCCCAAGAGTCACCATGACTTGGGGGGTTAGGGGACAGAATGGGGTAGGAGATGCAAGGGCCATGCTTATACCTTGTAGGAAAGATGCCATGTCAGCTTGAAAGACCCACAACAACCATCAGATCTCAGCTGCGAAAGCTTTCCAGAATGGGGTAGGAGATGCAAGGGCCATGCTTATACCTTGTAGGAAAGATGCCATGTCAGCTTGAAAGACCCACAACAACCATCAGATCTCAGCTGTGAAAGTTTTTGCAAATATGTTTAACAAAAGACATTTGTAATGTCTTTCTGTTTTTGGTGTTAAATAAGGGTTCCCATTAATTGTACTTGTAAGCAGCATAGTGTCACTTTCGCTTATGATCTCCGAACCACTGGGGTAAAAAAGGGCCTAATTTAATTCACATGGTGGGATATTTATTTTAATTTTAAATCCTTGGGTGGATTTTATGGGAGCCGAAAAATGAAATTGCAGTTGATAAGTTTGAACTCTGGGTGCCGCTGTCGGACGTCTTATATAGGAAGGCTCCCAAGCTCATCCTGTCCATAGAGATAAATATTTAGAGTTATGCCATCACTCTTCCTATTCCCAGTTTTCTTCAAAAAATGATTTTTCCACTCTTCTCTTCCAAAGCAAACTGTAGAGGGCGCTACTACGAAGAAGGAAACGGCTGCAGCGCGGTCTCTCTGTCTCGGAGGAGAGTCAGCCCACCGGCTGTCAGTCTATCCCGTAAATGCAAGCTGTGTTACTGCTCTACATTTTCCCTGTTGCTTTGCTCTACTTCCCACAGAACATAGAGATAAGCAGAGGCCCAGTTACAACGTCTTCATTTGAAACATCTTAAATTTCTCTGTTCCCACCACTCCCGACATCCCTCTTCTAAACGAGTGCAGATCTTAAAACCGAGTCTGACAGAAAATGGGGGGGGAAAGAAACCCGCCTCAAAGCGTCAATTGAAACAAGTCTAGGGGGTTATCGACTTCCGCCTCGTTTTCTCGCGAGACTCGGCAAACCCGGAAGTCTCTCCCTCCCACGTGTTTCAACCCCCCCCTTTCTCTTCGAGCGGGTTAGGCCGCCGGGCGGACGCAGCCATGGCGCTCTACAACTTCAAGAAGATCACGGTGGTCCCGTCCGCCAAGGTAGGCCGGTCAGCGGAGCCTCGAACACCGTTCCCGCCCCCACAGGCGGCGCGCGGGGCTTCTCGTGCGGCTGCGCCGTCTCTGTGGCAACGGCTCCGGTCGCGAGCGGAGGGCGGCCACGTGTCCCCCCCTCTTCTCCCTCCCCCAGGGAGAGGCCCTCTCCGCCCGGTCACTTTCCAGCCTTTGGATGGCTGAAGGCCTCTCCGGTGGTGACCTTCGAGGAGTCCGGCTTTCCTCGCTGGGGGGGAGGGGGGGGGAAAGAAGAACTTTACCCGTTGAGTTTCTGCCTGTAGCGGGGCTAGAGGGCAGAAGGACGAAGATGAGCCCGTCCACATGAATGAGAGTCCCTTTGAGGTGCCAAGGCGGGTCTCGCCTTTGGTGGGGTTCTCGAAGGGCAGAGGATGATGAAAAGTGGTTTCCTGGCCATTTTTCTGGAGGGCTGTGCGCTTGCCCGTGGCTCCGCGTGCTGGTGCTCCAACCCACTGACCTCACCAGTTAATTGCATACAGGATGTCTGAATTACTTATTATAATGAGGAAGAAAATGCAAAGCTGTCATCCGTTCCCATGGTTAGGGAGCTCAAATCTTTCAGGACTGAGGCAGTTCACGTGGTAATTGCACAGCCACTGATCCCAAACTAATCCCTTCTCCTGGGGTGTTTTACAAAGCCCAGTATCTCAAACCAGTATTGGGCAGGGGTTACCCAATACTTTGGCCACCTCATGAGAAGAGAAGACTCCCTGGAAAAGACCCTGATGTTGGGAAAGTGTGAAGGCAAGTGGAGAAGCGGCCAACAGAGGACGAGATGGTTGGACAGTGTCGTCGAAGCAACCAATATGAATTTGATCAAACTCCGGGAGGCAGTGGAAGACAGGAGGGCCTGGTGTACTCTGGGCCATGGGGTCACGAAGAGTCGGACATGACTAAACGACTAAACAACAACAAATGGAAGTTATTCAAAGTAGAGATGGGCATGAACCTGAAAAATGGTGATTTATGGTTGGCCATAAGCCAACCAGAAAACAGTGAACCAGTTTGTGCCTAGTGAATGGGGGGGGGGCATACCTTCTCCAGTTCTGGGTTTTTCTGATTCGTAGTTTGGTTTAGAAAACAGTGAACCAGTTTGTGCCTAGTGAGTGGGGGTGGGCGTACCTTCTCCAGTTGTGGGTTTTTCTGGTTCGTAGTTTGGTTTGTGCCCATCTCTAATTCAATCCATTCATGTTCACACTGTTTGAAAAAGCTCATCTCAAACTATGTCATCCTTGCTTTGGATTGCCAGCCGTGATTAATTTGAAGGTCACAGTTCTGCTGGAAAAGGGAGTCACGGCTTGAAGTGGGTGGAGCCAAAATCTGAATCCATTTCCTTATTTTCTGTTTTGTTTCTGTGATATTTTGCTTCATTTTTTCCCATGAACATCCTATGCGGATACTGGCTTAGTTCAGTTTTTCCTTTCCTTTGGTGGTCAGATCTTCTGGATTGAATATATTCTGTTATTAATAGCTTACCAAGGGGGTCACTATATGTTTTTTTAAGTGTAAGCTGTTACCTGATGCTTAATCTGATGATGGTCCTTGTTAGAGCACAGTGGAGAAAAGTGAGGGGATATGTACGAGAGGCTACGTTACAGAAAGATGGAGAGATTCTGTGAGGGGAAAAGAACAAAATAATTATGTCTAAGAGAAGTAAAAAATGGGTAAAGGAAAAATGAAAGACATGAAAACACAAGAAGTATGAAATGTGTGGCTGATTGAGAAATCTTGAAAATGTTAGCCAGATGGGCAAGTGTCACCAGATGAACCTTCAAATCAAGCAGCCTCAACTTTGCAAAAAACAGTAGCAACACCAAAGTGTCTGCATTTTACGTTTCCTCTCTTCATTTGTCTTCCCTCATTTTCCCCTTTGAAGTCAAGGTATAGTTCCTTTTCCTTCCAACTAGCCTTCTGAATCCATAGCATGGATAATGGTCTAAGTTTAATTGTAGTGACTGTGCACCCCAGCAGACTGTGCTGTTCTGTTTCTCTCCTGATGGTGCCCCAGGATTCTCTCTTCATCCTGTACAGATTTTAACCAAGGTGGAACAAGAAAGCCAGGGTGATGCATTCGTTCTCAGTCAGGCCACTGCATTTGTGGGCTTAAAAGCACTACAAAATTGTATGCAACAAGGTGATTTTTATCAGGATGGCGAGATGGGAAAGTTCTTTGTCTCCTTCCCTCTTTCGCTTTCTACACTGTTCTTTCAGCAGAGATGGTAGGGCTGTAAGTCCTCATTGCCCAGCTGTTTTCTGCTGAGCTGCAAAGGAAAACTGGCCATCTGGAAGTAGATGAAAAGTGGCCTCTGTTAAGTGCAATACTTGTTTTGGTCATTATTGGCAGTAGTGTTTTTCTGTTACTGGAAATTTACCATGAGTCTCATTGTAGTACTTCTTGTTGTACAAGAAGCTTTCTCTTGCATCATAATTTATAACAAACTGTTTACTATCTAGAGTTTTAAGATTATTATTATGTTATTATTATTGTTAATCTATTTGCGGTTCTTAAGGACCTCATGGTTCATAAGTTAAAACAAAAGCCCTACTTTAAAAAAAATGCAAACTCTCCATTGATCTTTTCCACAAGCTAAATTCTAGTGTGTTGATAATTCTACTGTCTTCTTTTAGTCAATGGACAGTTGGCATTGTGTGTTTGTAAACAATTTTCATTGACAAAGTTTAATTCAGAGCAGGGTAATTGCCAACCCTTTTTCCTTTTGTGTGTGTGTGTGTGTGTGTGTGTGTGTGTGTGTGTGTGTGTGTTTGTTCCCAGTTCTGGGAGATAATTGTGCATCACCTCATTAGCATTCCCTCTCCCCCCCCCCTTTTTTTACAAAGTCTTTTTTGGATAGATGTTAAGATTCGTTTTGTTAGCCAGGAGCCTATTTCAGTTTCACACCTGGGCCAAATCTGTAAAATTAAACTACGTTGAAAATGACAACTGTTATAAAGTTGAGGCCTTGGCTTAGTGGTAAAAGCAGAGAGTTGGCATTCAGAACATCCCAGCTTGAGGGATATATGTATGTCAGAGAGCCTGGAGTGATGGTCATGGGTTAATGGGTTAGACGGCGAAATGATCTCATATTTGTAACTGGTGTCCAATGTCCTGTTGCTTACTATAGTAAATTGCACTAGAATAGGCCCATGGAATCAATGAGGATTTGGCGAGTCAGCTGCTCTGTAAGTTTTGTTGATTCAAATGGGCCTATCATAATGGTAACTTCCTATAACAGAATAGGACCATCTGAATCAGTGGAACATATGGAGTTGATACATCAAATTCCTGTTGATTCACAGTGGTCTTTTCTAGTGCAGTTTACTACACTTAGCAACAGGCAGCTTCTTTTGTGTGTGTGTGTGTGTGTGTGTGTGTGTGTGTGTGTGTGTGTGTGTGTGTGTGTGTGTGTGTGTGTGTGTGTTTGTTCCCAGTGCATAAGTAAAATCATGAAAATTACAACATTGTGATTGGGTTCGTTGTCTAAGATAGGTGGGCCCAATAGGCCCATGGAATCAATGAGGATTTGGCGAGTCAGCTGCTCTGTAAGTTTTGTTGATTCAAATGGGCCTATCATAATGGTAACTTCCTATAACAGAATAGGACCATCTGAATCAGTGGAACATATGGAGTTGATACATCAAATTCCTGTTGATTCACAGTGGTCTTTTCTAGTGCAGTTTACTACACTTAGCAACAGGCAGCTTACAGGCCATTCATTGTAATTTCATATGGAAACGGCATTTATATGTGCTTTGCATTTGGTAATTATGGAGTAAGAAATTGCAATATGTGCATAAGTAAAATGAAAATTACAACATTGTGATTGGGTTCTTTGTCTAAGATAGGCGGGCCCAGGGATTCGGCGTGAATGACAGCCGGAGTAGACGTTATGGTTCCGAACGGTTTAGTTTTATTTTTCTTAACATCAGATAACTCAGGACCAAATGGGTCTAACAACTCTGCATCAATCAACAACGTATACTTTTTGGGCTTAACAACATTCCCCACATCTTCAGTTCTTAAGGTTTCTTCACCCCAAAAAGGGGGGTTGTGTTCAGCTTCATTACGGGAGTGCTCAACACCGCACATGTCGTCCCGCAACAGGGATGCTTCACGACGGAGCCCTCCAGTCTGGGCAGAAAGGGGCTGGCCCCATAAGGGGTCTCGCAGTCCTCCAAAACTGGGGTGACCGAACCCAGTCCCCAATTCCATTCCTTCTTTCGCTCACCTGCTCCGATCTTTCTTAGTTCCTTGGGCAAAGGCAGCAAACCATCCTCTCTCATGAGATTTGGGAAATTCCTCACTAATTTGGCTATCCTTTCCCTTTCAGCTCCTGTCTCTTCCGTCTGTGTCTCTCTGCTCACCCCTGATGTTCCAATCCCTCCTCTTTTTTCTCCTCCTTTATATCATCCTCCCATCTCCATTCACTAGACTCCTCCCCCCAATCCCTCGCTCTCTCTGCCAAGAACACTTCTACCGCCTTCGTCCTCATCAAGTTTAATCAGTTCCCCCACCGCACAGCTCTCACTTTCTTCCTTCAGTTTCTCACGCGAGGATGGCTCACTCCTGTTCTTCCACTCACAAACATCAAATTGCTGTTAATTAAAGAGGTGCTGGTTGCATTTCTCATTGTATGATAAAGCAGATAACACAGACTGTGATTGGCATATCTCATCAGTGGCAATTTGCTTTTGTGACTTATGCAGTTTCACCTTTGTATAAATTGCTATTAGAATTCTAATCTGTATGTGATAATTTTTTTTAAACAGTTAATAAATTTTATAGGGGAAAAGTATAAATTTAAGATTCAATATACCTGAAATACTCTGATGTCTTTTAATATTAAAAATAGCTATCCCACTTTTTTTAAATCTTCCATTACTGTGGAAGTAAAAATAAAGTAGATGGTACACAGAAATGAAATCAGTGAGGCTTCCATATATTAATTTTTACCTATCAAAACGTGATGGGGCTTAGTAGACTTTAAAAGCACAGTCAATGTAACTGCAAATGTTCAGGGATTACAGTTGTTATATTAAGATATGAGGCTCTGAACATACATTTTGTATGCACTAAAATGAAATACTGTAATGCCTTAGAAGTATGCATTGCCTGGTCACCCAGAACCTCATTGAATCACTCACTTATAATGTGCTTTTTAAACCTACCATTTCATTGTGGTGCTTGGTGACTTGGAAAATATTAATTGCTTATCTGTGTCAATTCGTCTTTGTTTTTTAACTGCAGGACTTCATCGATCTGACATTGTCCAAGACGCAACGAAAGACGCCTACAGTTATTCATAAACATTATCAAATTCATCGCATTCGTCAGTTCTATATGAGAAAAGTAAAATATACTCAGCAAAATTACCATGACAGACTTACCCAGATCCTAATGGATTTCCCAAAGTTAGATGTAAGTGGCAGTAGGCAGCTGCTAAATAAATAAATACATTTATTTTGAATTCAGAATTATACTCTGTGGAATAACTTGAAGACGTATTTTCCCCACTCAGTTGTTCTTGGCTTTCTTAAGAGAGAGAGGTATGGACTTCAAGCAGGGATGTTGAATAACTACTCTCTTTTGGAAAAGCATTATAAACTGTTTGTTGATTTATGCTGATAAATGAAGCCAGGAAGGTACATTGTAAACTGAGCTGTGGGGTGTGTATTCCTCTAAATACATTGGATTGGTTTAGATTTAGGAGTGTGCAGCTGAGCTGGTTATCTTTAAAAACCAACTAAAAACATGGATGTTCATGTATGCCTTCCCTCCAGTCAATATCTGATCTTTTTTCTTTATTTATCTCTTTACTTGTTTTTATTTTTTCCATCTTGTAGAATTTGTCATTTAATGTAATAATTTTTGTGTTATATTTATTTGTTGTTTTTATGTATGTATCTGGAAGCCGCCTAGAGTGGGCGAAAGACCAGATAGGCGGGATATTAAATAAAATAGAATAGAATGAATGAATTTCCATAGCAGTTCCGGTCCCATGAAAATGCTACATAGAGGGTTGGGGATCCTGCTGAATAAAATCACCTGTCATATATAGTGTGGAGAGGACCTCTAAATACTTGGCAAAAGCCTCTTGTGTTAGGAGAGTCCATGGAACTCAGATTCTGGATCCCGCACTCCACCCCTCTCATCATCTCTTTTGTGCAAAGTAACACTGGTTGGAGCAAGAAACGCCTTCCTAATCTTCAGAATTGGAGAGAACAAATGCTTTTCTATATAGTAAAATCATTACGCTGGCAAGAAAAATTTTTTTATGTTTCCTCGGGCTTACCAAATAGTAGCAAAGATCATAGACTACAATCTGATGAGCTCAGACAAGGGGCTTCTGATAGCTTTCTGGGAAAGTTTGTCTTTTTTTCTCTCTCTCTTTGCCATGTTGCAAACTAGTGTTCAAAATTCCTCCGTTGCTTCAAAACACGTTGACTGTACGGCAGGGGACATGGGTGTTGGAAGAAAGGCATCTGACTCTCCCGTTTGGACTCACGGAATGAGTTTCACTGATTTTTGTAATCTGCCATTACATAAATTTTGGGGAGGAAGGGTAAATATAAAAGATTTCAAAGCTGTTGTTTTCTTGTTTCCAGGACATCCATCCGTTTTATGCAGATTTGATGAACGTTCTTTATGACAAAGATCATTATAAGTTGGCTTTGGGACAAATCAATATTGCTAAAAATCTGATTGACAAGTAAGAACAATCTTTTTCATTCTCATTATATGAAAACATGTTGCTTTGATCATATCTATACACTTCCCTTTTTGGAAGAATTGGTTCTAGCTGCTAAATACTAAATACAGTAGATATTATCATACTGCTTGTTTCTAACATGGAGCAATACTGGTATCTTGGTTAGTACTTCTCCTTTCTTTGCCCTTGCCAAGGCCCCAGTCACCTACTTAGGTGTGTGAGAGGGTAGCAATCCTAACATTTTTTCAACAGTTTAAATACAGGTTTGGTTTGTGTTTCTACAATACAGCGTTGCCAAAGATTATGTACGGCTGATGAAATATGGTGATTCTCTTTACCGCTGCAAACAGCTGAAGCGAGCAGCACTGGGACGGATGTGCACGATAATCAAAAGACAGAAGCAGAGCCTGGAATATTTAGAACAAGGTGGAGTATATCAGATAGGCTGTTGTGGCTTCTGTTATTGTTCTTCCAAGAATCTGATACCAACATACAAGGTTTCATTCTGCCCCCATTCCATTGTGTGAAGAGATACATCATACCAGAGCAAGAACTGGAATCTGGGTCACCATGCTTCTGTGCTGACACTGGCTGAAATCCTATTGCTTAGCATTATAAGTTGCACTAGAGGAGACCCATTGAGTCAATGGGGATTTAGTAGTCAACTCCACCATATATGTTCACTTAATTCAAGTAGGTCTGCTGTAACTGCCACTTGCTGTGCTCAAGTAAGTCACAGTTTGAGTAGGCCCATTTGAATTAGTGGAACTTATGGATGAGTTGACTCAGTGAATGCCCAGTGATCCAGTGAGCCTTTGGTATGCACATGTCCATTCTCAACATCTCTGCCCTATGACCCTTCAGCAGAACTTCTGAAGGGAAAGGAAAATGGAGCACAGGGCTGTTTCCTTTTTGTCTTAAATAAAGCTGCTGCTTAGGGAAAAGCAGCAGCTTAGATTATACCAAAGCTGGATGAGCATTTTATGTGAAAAATCTAGAATGTGTAAGATGCACTGAAAGAAGCCAGTTAGAATCCATGCTTTGGAAAATAACAACAACCCTGGAAAGTATGTGTACAGAGTATTCAAGATTTGATATTTGATATTCTTTGATATTTATTTCATGGTTTCTGCTCTAGACCATGGGTGGACAATCTGAAGATCTGGGGGCCATAGTACTCCATCCAGAACTCCCTACTTTTTTAACTCAATTTCTTAAAATTATAAATTTCTCTTTCACCTTCAAGAGGATGGAAAACATTCAATATACAGTGGTGCCTTGACTTAAGAACTTAATTTGTATTGGAACAGTGGCTGTAAGTCAAAACGTTCATAAATCAAAGCAGCATTTCCCATAGGAAAGCATTGAAAACTGATTAATCCGTTCCAGCTGTTTTTTGTCCTTATGTCAAGGCACGGTTCATAAGTCAAAGTATTAGTTCCCATAGGAACTAATGATCACCGCAAAGCAAAAAAATCCCATTTAGACCATCGTTTTGTGATTGCAATTGCGATCGCAAAAAAATCGTAATGTGGTTTTGTCGTAATGCGGGGCAATAATAAAGTGAGGCACGACTGTAATAGAGTAGTATTCTCATGTCAGATCAGCATACTCTTGTATATTTAGGCCACAGAGAGCGAAGCATTCCGAGGCAAATTGAAGACAATGGACTTAAGCATATGACTCCGTGCTGGATTATGGTTCCACACAATTTGGTTCAGATCTTAATGTTCTAGGGAAACATACTTGCCACCCAGCTCCCAAATTCTGGGAATGGATTATCAACATTCATTTTAAGGCAACACATTTTGTCCTGCTTCAAACTGGCTTCCGCAATATCTTTAAGCAAATATCTTTTTTGCACCACCTTTGAATAACTAAATGTTCTTTTTTGGATGTTTTTTCCTAGTGCGCCAGCATCTATCCCGGTTGCCAACCATTGATCCTAATACACGGACTCTTTTATTGTGTGGGTACCCAAATGTTGGGAAATCCAGCTTTATAAATAAGGTTTGTGGATTTACATATTGCGAAAGCAAAATTACAGCAAAACCCTGAACATACGTATTGTGGAATAAAGCCTACCAAGGTCACTAGGACTTGCTTCCTAGCTGGGTTTAAGATCATAGCCTTAACTGGGTTGAATATATTCCTGCTTCCTAATGTGTGAACTGATCTTACAATGTTTGAGCTTTTAAGGGATTCCGAGAAAGATACTGAGTTTTCCATATTGCATTATAAGCTTTATAAAAGAAATTGCATCTTTTCAATTTTTTGTTTTCCGATCATCCCATGACAGAAGGAAGTTTTAATCTTATAGAACATTGGCTTCAAAACAAGTCTTGTGTGAACTGTCTGGTATTTTTATTTGTTTATTTTATTCATCTATTATGCTTCCATAGTTTATTGGAAAAAAAACTGACTTCTAAATCCAGAGACAGTTTAACTCTGAAATGCTTTGCTTTTTAAGGTGACAAGAGCAGATGTAGAAGTGCAGCCCTATGCCTTCACCACAAAGTCCCTCTTTGTGGGACACATGGATTACAGATATCTCCGTTGGCAGGTAAGTCCTATTAGTTCACTGAAGCAATGAATCGCTTTTAAATCATACTGATCTAACTAACAGGGTATTTGGATTTTGGTTTTGCTTGTAATATTAAAATGTCTGTCCCTTGGGTTCTTTTAATTATAATTCCCGCACTTATAAAAAATATAAGCTCTTTCTCTTCCCTCCCCCAATATTTGGATTCTGTAGTTTCAACATCTTACATACCTGAATCCTTACTTATGCAGGAATGCCCTGCTCTCATTCCAGTGAGTGGTTTTTAGGTTATCACTGTTAGGATAATCATATGAGAGTTTACCTTTTGGATTTATCCTCCCTTCTCATCCATATGCTTTCTCAGGTAGTACTCCATGCATCTGGTGAAATGGACTGCAGCTCACAAAAGCATATTCCAAATAAAACTGCTTAGCCTTTAAGGCTCAGCAAGGCTCTTGTGGGGTTGGGTTGCTGGTTATATCGAGAAGTGACTTGCTGTGCTGATCCTTTCGCTTATAAGTCTCACATTTGCAAAGATCTGTGGAAGGGTGGGAGCCCATTGATAGAATTGGTGACTTCCCGCAACTGCAAATCTCAGCCCAGAAGTCAGAATTTCAACCTGTCTCAATGTAGTACTCATTCAGGAAGATGTTGCTTATACAGTTCTAGCACTGCCTGGACCCCAGTTGATGCCTCTGCACATCAGCTGACAGCATCAGACAATGCCCCCTACATCAGTTGACCACTTCTTTAGTCATCTTGTCCAGGTCAGCCACCCAAATAACTTCAGTAAATGCGAAGAGTTCAGCCTCTGAGGCATCAAGGTTGCAGAGAAACAATGAAGCCCTGTATTCTAGCATTGACATGCAGTGTGGGATGGTGGATAGAATGCTGAACCAGGGCTCAGAAATCTGTATTAGAATTCCCTCTCACCTGTGGAAACTCACTGAAGAACTGGTAAAGCCACTCATTAGTTATTTCACTTAAACTTGAAAGCTCTCTTAGGATTCCTATAAGTTGGTTCCAACTTGGCAGTATTGGGCACAGTTACTAGTAACCTTTAGCCACTCAAGGGCTGTTGATGCTGCAGGGAGCTTATTAACCCAGCTACCCAATGACTATACGACATAGGCTTGCTTTGTATACCACTGACTTTACTGAAAAGCATAAAATCATATGCAAAACCAGCAAATCTTCCTAAATGCGTAAAGTTCAATACAGTTGAATAGTGATTTAGCGCTGTAGTTCAGCAGACTTTGTGGAAGTGTACAGATCCATTTGCTTGCCTCCATTAACCAAAATGAGTGTGTATGTTTGCTGTAGATAGTCCAAATACACGGACTCTTATTGTGTGGGTTCCGTCATCCCAGTGCTGTGTTTTGTTTATTTGGCAAGCTCTGTGGATCATTTGTAGGTAAGTGTACACAGGATTGTAGATCCTGGGTACAATCAAAATTTGTAGCAAGATCTTCATCTTGTGTATTTAAAACAAGATTAATCCGTGTAGTTATTCAGTATAATTATGTAACTTTCACCATTACTCATTTTCTTTAGATTAGAAAGAATGGGAAACAGTATTCAGCACCCCCATTTTTCATTTGTCACTTAACAGCCTCTTTAAGTTCAGTGACTTTAATCCTACCATCTTCTTCCCACCCCACCCCGGTTTCTAGGTCGTAGATACCCCTGGTATTTTGGATCACCCCCTGGAAGAAAGAAACACCATTGAGATGCAAGCAATAACAGCACTTGCTCACCTCCGTGCAGCTGTCCTGTATGTCATGGACATATCTGAACAATGTGGGCACAGCCTGGAAGCGCAGCTAGAACTCTTTCAGAATATTAAGCCACTGTTTGCAAACAAGGTGGGCCAGGCTTTTATCACTTCAGCAAAGTCATTCTCTTTGTTATAATATTGCTGATGTTAGTTCTACATGTGTTTTTTTCTCCCCTCTCTTTCTTCTTTCAGCCCCTGATCATTGTGGCCAATAAATGTGATGTGAAGAGGATTTCTGAGCTTTCTGAGGAAAATCAGGTAGGAAGGTTTCAAATGTGTAATAGACTTGTGCACACACATATATGCAACAGTCTGTTTTTATATAGATGTAACATTACACTGTGTAAGAATGAATATATTTCCAGCTATGCTTGCAGTCAAAGAATGGCTTGAGTCAACATCCCCATCTCATGTGTCAACTACAAATGTATCCTTTCTTGCAATGTATTAACATCTCATTTTTTTCTTCTGGTTAGATTGTGTTCCTTGTAGTTGCACCATGACTGGGTAGCCTATTATAAGATTATTCCATATTTAGGCAAAATATCCTATTTGGAATGTTACCTAGTACAAGTCTGCTTTAGCCTTCATGTGAAAGTATTCTACATTATTTGATTAGTGTACAAATAAGAATGTATATGAACCTTTTAAGCTCATTTGTATATATGTCATTTATGTTGACCGCTAGCCATTCTAGTGTAATATTTCCATTTTCCGTTTTATGAAGCTACTGTATTTAATTCCTTAGGTGTAAATGACAAAATCATCGTTCTTCGTTGTGTGAGGCACCACTGTACTGTATTTCCATTTTTGGTTTTATGAAGCTGCTGTATTTAATTCCTTAGGTGTAAATGACAAAATCATCGTTCTTGTATTTTAATGTTTGTTTTTGCCCTTGTTACAATTATTTCATCTGCGTATCTCTATTATGTTTCAGAAACTGTTTGCTGATCTAGAAGCAGATGGTATTCCAGTAATAGAGACAAGCACTCTCACTGAAGAAGGCGTGATTCAAGTTAAAACAGAAGTGAGTGTGTGTTTGTTTTATACGCATTTGTATTCCAAAGTAACCACTGATTTGCCTCTCCAGTGGGTGACCTGTTCTGCCTATGGAAGTGGTGGTTCCTTCTTTGTGCTAGAATATCAAGAGAGAAAAAGAAACTAAATCCAAGATAATGATCTGTGTGTACAGCCGCACAAACTACCAGCAGAGTAGTTATGGGCGGACGTTTTGCTGGAATCCTAGGTTACACCAAGCAGAAGCTGGTACAAAATAGTGGTAGGCAGAAATATACAGAAGGCAAAGCCCCACGCGTTTATAGGTTGCCCCAGGAGTTTGCTTACAGCCGTTCCATGCTGCACTTCCTTTAGCTTCAGCGCCCTAATTCAGTTTTTTTTTGGGGGGGGGTGCATTGTTGCTGTTGTTGTCTAGCATTTAGGAGACAAAAAGCCTTGCAAATGTCCTGCAAAATCATCTTGATATCTATCAGGACATCTCGAGGCGTGTTAAGGCTCTGTATTAAATCAGGTAGAATCTCTTGTGCAAGTGGTTGTTGCATCATAATATCACATCAATTTCGATTCTGCCCACAGCTTTTGTTGCAAAATTAACATTGGATTCAATTCTGCCCGTGGCTTTTTTGGACCAGCCTCTTGGTTTGTTTGTTTGGTTTTTTTTAATATGCGGGTCTCTTTGCTGTGCATAGGTCAACTTGAGGGCTACCTGAACAGCCATCAAGAAAATCTGTTAACTATAGCCTTAATGTTTTTTTTTGGGGGGGGGGGCGGGGAAATCATTTTTTAAAAAATAGCTAACTGAGGGTTATGTGCCTATCAAATTGGAAATGAGTCAGAAATTAAGACAGTGGTTTCCATATGGAACTATAGGGTGTGATTTTTGAAGGGGGCAGGAAATTGGATTCCACAAACCACCTGGAGAGGGAGGTGGGCCCCCTCTGCTTATTCTGTAAGGTTATTTTCTCTCCTTCAAACATAATGTACAGGAATATTTCAGAAGAGAAAGAGGAGAATTGACTTTTTACCTTCCCATTTCACAATGTCCGCTGTCCTTTGCTTTACAGTCATAAAAATGCTTAGTTTCTACTTTTGAAGGTCAGCATATGGAGTAGAAAGCTATGAAGGGGAGGGCAGTGTGATTGGGTTCTTTTGAACGTTGTGGCAGTTCCTCTGTTTTGGCGGTAAATAAAGAACTGAGGTCTGTTTGAAGCGTTCACAGCTTCAGTTTTATTAACTCGTGGTGTTTCAACTATAATTCCAACGGGATCAAACATGATAAATCAGGCAACTGTTCATAACTAGATGAAGATAACTGCTCTTGTAGGTTTGGGTAATTCACTGGGGGGCTGGACCAAACCTCTCTCGATCCGCGATGTTCCGTAAAGGGGCACCCCGTAAAGGGGCTCCTCGCGCCGCGCAGGTGGTGCCACAGCACGGGTGACGAGCCCAGTCCCTTTCCTTCGGAGAGTTGTTATAAGTTTAGTCCGGTCGTATCATCTTCCTTCCATGCCCTTGTCCCCGTGGAAGTGTAGGTTTGGGTAATTCACTGGGGGGCTGGACCAAACCTCTCTCGATCCGCGATGTTCCGTAAAGGGGCACCCCGCGCCGCGCAGGCGGTGCCACAGCACGGGTGAGGAGCCCAGTCCCTTTCCTTCGGAGGGTTGTTATAAGTTTAGTCCGGTCGTATAACCTTCCTTCCATGCCCTTGTTCCCGTGGAAGGACAGTCACTGTCCATTCTTGTGTTTCAAAGGCAGTCTCTCCTTCTCTCTTAACTTCTGGGTCAGGCAGCAACCCTCTGTCCTTTAGGTTCAGAAAGTCCTTTAGAACAGTGGTCCCCAACCTTGGGCCTCCAGGTGTTCTTGCACTATAACTCCCAGAAGCCTTCACCACCAGCTCTGCTGGCCAGGATTTCTGGGAGTTGAAGTTCAAGAACATCTGGAGGCCCAAGGTTGGGGACCACTGCTTTAGAAGACCACACGTTCTTTCATATCCTTAATCAATCTCCCCCTTCTCTTTCTCCACTGCTTTCCCTCCTCCTTCGTTTTCGAATCTATCCCCCCCAAATCTCCTCTCCCCTTGATCTTTTATACTTTCCTCCCATATAGACATGTTTAGCTCCTCCCCTTTTCCTCTTTCTCCTTCTTCCACCAGACAGACCTCTGTCTTCCCCTTCATTTCCTCTGTCTTCCCCTTTTGTCTCTGTTATCTCACTCCCACTGATTCCCCTTTCCTCTTTTGATACTTCCATCACTTTCCTCCTGCTTTCCTTCACAGGCAGCCTCTCCATCTTTTCCCTATGAAATCCTAACAGGGCCACAATGTTCTTCTTTCAGACTTGCTGGAGCCTCGAACAAGCCTCACTTGTTCACTCTAACGCTGGCTCGAGGGTGTAGAGCTGGTGTTGTCACACACCAGTTAAGATGTGTTCCAGTTTTTTTTAATGGATTTCTATAGTACAACCTACAGTCAAGGTGCTTTGTAAAGAACAGGTGTTACGGGTCCTGATTCTAAGTGGCTTTCAATCTAAAATAGACTCGGGCAAAAAGCAGATAAAACAGATGGACAGGGGAGTAAATTGGCAGAGAACTTGTAGTTACAGCAGGATATTGAGACTAGGGGGATATTCAGAAAGCTGGTAAAGCTGAGTTTCTGAAGAGGTACTTGAAGATAGTATGACAAGAGTAGAGGTTTATGTACTTAGGAAGAAAGATACCGTAATTTTCTTTTCCAGAATTTCATTCAATTCTTCAAGCCGTCCGGCTTATGGGTAGAGCCATCTCTTATTCCAGACAGGAGAACCATATCTATTCCAGTTTCCAGTTCAGAATGTTAATTCAAAACTCAAAGACTAGTTTTTCTTGAAATAAACAACGAATATAAAGCTTAGCTAAGTAATTGTATCAGGATCTTAAAAATAAATAATTAAAGATGTTTCGAGATGAGGGGAAAGGGATGGGTAAGCCCTCTTTACGTTTTTATTCTTTGCCAGCCAATCAGATACAAAGGAAAATCGAAGCAAAGTATGCTGCTTTTATACTGCCCCATAGTACTTAAAGCACTCTCTGAGTGGTATATGATTTAATTATGCAAGCTGCATATCCACCCCCCCCCCGCAGGACATTTGCTGGGTACTTGGTTTACTGACCTCAGAAGGATGGAAGGCTGAGTCAGTTTTGAGCCATTTACCTGAACCAGTTGGGATTGGATTCAGGTCATGAGCAGAGCTTTGACTGAAATACTGCAGTTTAATCACTGTGTCGTGAGGCTCCATTAGAGAATCCTGTGGGCAGAAGCCAAGGAGGGAAGATGAAGCTGATATGGCAGTAACCTGGGAGGGCTTCTTTCCAGGTGATTTTTTTAACAGCTTGGATCAAAAATTGGATGAGTATAGAAATCCAAACTGGAGTCTGCTGGCTCTGTCTTTATTTTCTGACAGGAATTAAAAACTCTGCACCCTGTCCATAGATTTTAAATGGTTTTGATTTTTTCGTAAAGCATTCTCTCCCTTCTGTTTTGTAATTTGAGTTTATTTTAGTTAATTTTCTATGCATTGCTTTGGGCACCTTGATGGACAGAAACATGATTCAGGAATACTTTAATAGTGATGATGATAGGGCACTCCCAGTCTCTGAAACTAGTTAAGAAACTGGGGACCATTATGGCTGCACTGAACCTTTAACCATTTGTGCTATCAGCATAATTTTGATTTATATATATATATTTCATGTTTAGGCTTGTGACAGATTGCTGGCCCATCGCGTTGATACTAAAATGAAAGGAAACAAGGTTAACGATGTACTGAACAGACTCCATTTAGCTGTTCCAGCCAAAAGAGATGACAAGGTTTGTGTGTGCTGCCCATTATGTCTCTCCCCCCCCATTTCAGAAGTATGTGTACGTGTTGTTATGTGCCATCAAGAGCGCTGTCCAAAATGTCCAAGCAGCAGTTGAGTCTTTTTCTTTGGTAACTTGGCAAATGCAGTGGTAATTTGGCATTGTTTGTGACTGTTGTTCCTTGGCAGCAAAAAGAAACAAGTCTGATTTCTTGAGCACAGGCTGTTTTCATTTTTTGATCTTAGGAAAGGCCACCTTACATCCCCGAGGGTGCCTTACTGCGCAAAAAACGTATGGAAGTTGATGCACCAAAGAAGAAACTGGTGAGCTTGTTTCTTGGGCAAACAATAGTGGCCTTCTTCTGAAGCTTAGGGGAAAAAAAGAGGCCTTCCTAATTTTCTGTTCCTCTTTGTAGGAGAAAGAACTTGAAATGGAAATGGGAGATGACTACGTTTTGGATCTCAGGAGTAAGTAATTAATGTTTAGAAGTGTAGCAGGACTTAGGTAGTATACCTGTACAAGTAGTGCCTTGCTAGACGATGATAATCCGTTCCACTGAAATCGCTGTTTAGCGAAATCATTGTCTAGCAAAAAGCATTTCCCCATTGGAATGCACTGAAACCTGTTTAATGTGTTCCAATGGGGAAGAATCGTCGTTGTCTAGCGAAGATTGGCCATAGGAAAGCCGCTTTGCGAACAGACGATCAGCTGTTTAAATAGGTGTCTTGCGAAGGTTAGGTCCTGAAAACACCCATTTTGCGAGCACGGAGGGAGCTGTCAAAATAGTTGTCTAGCGAAAATTGGTTTGCGAAGCAGGGACCAAACATTGTCGAGCAAAATTCCCCCATAGGAATCACTGTTTTGCAAATCGCTATAGCGATTGCAAAAAGTCAGTGTCTAGTGAAAAAACTGTGATGCGGGGTAACTGTCTCGCGAGGCACCACTGTACTCATTTATTGGGAAAGAACTTAGTCGTACTTACTTCTAAGTAGTTGCAGCTTTGTGCTGCATGTTCTTTTTTAAAAGACAGCTGAAATAGAAGATTGCAGCTTGTTGCAAGCCTCACAGTATGTTCTCTGCATCCATAAGCTCATTTTTTTGTTTGATATAATTATTTGAAAATCATATTTTCTCTTCTAACTTGTAATAGGAATAATATACTCTGTATTTCGGATCTGTGTTAAAATGTGAAGAGCTGTCTTTGTTCTCAGGTTTATGACCTCAGTTGAGAGCTGTGTTACAACACATGAAATCCGTTCTCTATTGCCTTTTTAGTCTTTGAGCCAAGGAACATCTTCCTTCTTTAAATCTGCCCTTTATCTTTTCATGCATGCTAGAAAGGGATTCTTTGCTTCTTATATCTTCTGTACCACTTTTCAAAAAGCCCACTTCACAAGAAAGGCATTAAAAATTTTTGTATTATATTATTAAATCGATCATCTACGTATATCTTGCATCCAAAAAGGTCACAGATGGATAATCAGTGGCAGGTAGGGTCTGTAAAGATGTAACAGCATGCTTGCAGAAAGACCAGGGAACCTTTATAAGTATGGAACTTCTACATTTCACCTAGATTGTGTTCCACCAATAGAACATTTACTGCTGGTTGAGAACCACTGCTTTAGGATTCAAAGAAGGATCTCAGCATAAACAAGTAGATAAAGAAAGTTGAGGGCCACTTGCCAAGTTATTACTGTAGGATGGAAAGATTCTCTTCTGTCGCCGTCTCTAACACCTACATTACACAACAAGAATTGGGAATCCTGTAAGTTAATCTTTTTTTTCCCTGTTGCTTTCTTTGCTTTCTTTGCTATAGAATACTGGGATCTAATGAATCCATCTGAAAAATACGATGTAATACCAGAGATCTGGCAAGGACACAATATCGCTGATTATATTGACCCAGATATCATGAAGGTAAGACTAACTGTAGATTCCGTGGTTTGAGGCACAGAAGAATTGCAGCATTAATGCCATTGCACCGAATATACAGTATTTTCTGTATCAGTGTGATCGGGTTCATATTCTAAAGTAAGCAGTTCCCCTTTATCTACATGAGCGACAACAGGAGGCGACATATCTTTAACTAAATGTTTAGTTTCTTGAGGAGGCAAGGGGTGTATTACAACTTCAGTGGGTTCAACAGGACTATTAAACACTGGTACACCATTTCACATTAAGTCTGGGTTGTTTCTTACGACATTTTCTCTTAATGTGGCACCATCCCAAATCTCTCTCGGTTGGTCAGTTTTCTCAAAGGGGTGCTCCGGACCGCACAGATGGTCCCACAACATGGGTGTCTCGCTCAATCCCCTTTCGCGTTGGGTCCCCCAGTAGGAATAGGTTCTGGATGCTCCACCTTCTTCCAAGGACCTTTCCCCCTCGGGTAGACATATACTGTACATTCCAACAGATCCAACTCTCCTAATTGTACTTCAATTCCTGTTGGTATTGGTTGTAGTGTAGACTTTCCACCCTTCTCAAACCCTTTCTCTTCCCTCTTAGGTGCATCAAAGATGTACGGCTTTCGCTCACTCTTTTGTTCTTCACTCTCCCTCTTCTTCTTTTTTTCCTCCTCCTCCACTGCCACCAAACTCACCAACGAATTCAAACTCCTTCCTATTCCCACCTTTTCCTCCCACTCTTCCATTACCAGCAAACCTTCTACCATTGGTTGTTCTGCTCTTGCCTTTTTCTTATCCTCTCCCTCAGTTGTTTGAACATCCCCCAAAGTCTGCACCGTATTCGGTACTTTGTTGGTTCCTTCCGCCTGAGATGATGGAGCGGACGGCTCACTTTCAGGTTTAACCTCCTTAACCGATTCCTCTTCACAATCAAGGCTACAAAATTAGCATTCACTTTTTAAAAAAGACATAGTTACTATTGAATTTTTAACCAAAAGTATCAGAGAGCTAGACAGTTGATTGGTGGTTCAAACCATCTGTATCATACTTTTCTTTGTCCAAGACTCAAGCATTGTGCTATTTATTTTCACACAAGATCAGGGAATGGAAATTGACCTGTTGTTCATATGCATGGACTGCCTGAAGAGCTGTGGTGATGAATGTTGAAGAATACAGATTGTAAACAGGTTTCTAATGCACTATGTTTTAAATTTGTTTAAAGAAACTGGAACAGCTGGAAGAGGAAGAGGAACTAAGGCAAGCGACTGGAGAATATGACAGTGACTCGGAAAGTGAAGACGAGGAAATGAAAGAAATCAGACAATTGGCACAACAGATTCGAGAGAAAAAGAAATTGAAGATCTTGGAATCTAGGGAGAAGGATACACAGGGACCAAAGATGCCTAGAACAGCAAGAAAGGTATGTTAAGTACTTTCTCAAGTCTGTGTTGGGACATGATCACAATTAAGGATTTAAGTGCTGTTGAGACATCCTCACTTATTTGCTGTGCTCCTTTAATTACAAAACAAAAACTAAAAAAAAAATCTGAAACAAGGACAAAGGCCACAGTAAGAAACATGGGTCAGATCACAAACAGCAAGGTGAAGTGGAACTGTAAACTAGACATAGAAAGGTTGGCTCAACCAAGTCGCACCAGCATTGTATACACTTTCAGGGTTTCCACTGAGTATCTTTCCCAGAGATACTAGGGCTGTAGTTAGGACTTTTTGTATTCCTTTACGTGTTGTGCTGCAACTCTTTATCAATTCAGACTGGCTGAAATCCTGTTGGCATGAGTTATGCTGTGTAAGTCTGATGACACTGTCAGCTGAGACAATTTTTTGATCATTAAACATTCTCTACTTCTGTCCTAAGGCATCTACCTTTGTCTTGAGGGAGCTGTGGAAGGGAAAGGGGAAGTGTAATTACTGAAAATCCCTGCAGCTGATTGAGGAGTTATCCTGGTGGTTGCAATTTTTGATAAATAAAGACTTTCTCCTCCTATCCCAGAGCTTCCACAGTTCCTGACTGTGAAAGGGATTACACGGAGTGAAGTTGGAAGTGTTTAATTTCTGAAAAACTGTTGTTGCTATTGGCATTCTCAGCCTCCTGCAAGTGCAAGATGACACCAGAATTTCAGCCCAGGTGTTTTGAACATTTTTCAGAAAGAATTCGTATTACATGTAGCTGCAAGACGTTTTCCATCCACACTATGTTGTGGTACTGAGTGTTCAAGGAAAATAATAATTGTATGTGAGTTCAGTGTACATTCCACAGCATTAGAACATAGTAAAACAAATGGAGTGGGGAATGGCAGACCCCAGCAGCTCATTTTTTAAATTATCTGTTTCAAACTGTTGCAGGATTTTTGTTACAGTTTTTGAATATTACTGTGCTGGATTTGTGCAGTCCCTGGAATAACAACATTGTATTGCTTTTTGGGGAAATAACCAGTTTCTTCTGGCCTTAGGTTCAGCGGAAGGCATTGGAGAAGGAAATGACTGACCTTGGCTTAGACATGACAGGCAAAAATGATGTAAGATGTTTAAATTGTTATTTGTTTATTGCTTACTTGGTAACGATATATGTCGACAAAGCTTTTATTTTAAAGGTTTAATTACTCTGCTTTCATTTTCTGCAGGAGGTGTTTTAGGGAATGAATTAATACTGGATAAAAAGGGGAATACTGGGGTCTGTTTAGAATAGAAAATTATAAAGCAAGCATGGATATGACAGAGTAGTATACAGTTGTCCATGGCACAAAGAAAGTTAGCAGATAATAGTGTTCTTCCCTCTCTCACAGTAAAAAAAACATGATATCATTCAAGGACATCAGATGGTGGCCTATGCAGGTGAATTGGAGGGATTAGATAGATTCAAGGGGGGGAGGATAAGGCTAACAGTGACCATCAGTCATCATTCTACAGTAAGCTGCTTTGTGTCATGCTTGTTGGCTTTCCAGAAGACATATGGCTAGGTCACTGTGAAACAGGATGCTGGATTTGGTAAAACTGTTGTTTGATTTATTGGGCTTCCGTTAGGTTTATCTGAAATCTATTGTATTAGGCATGTTGTAACTAGAGGATTAGATGTGACTAAATTTATGTTGAAAGCCCCAACACTTTAAGTCACAGTAGTGTCTCGTATAATTTAGAGATCAAGTTCTCATTGAGTTTTGTAAACTTTAGGCTCATTATGTTGCCCAAACAAGAAGATCACGAAGTGTCACCCGCAAACGTAAGCGAGAAGATTCTGTACCGCCAACTTCTGTAACACGAAGTCGCAGCTCCTCTCGTACACCTCGAGATGTTTCTGGTCTCCGGGATATCCAGGTTTGCCTCAGTTGATTGATATTAAACATTTTTATGCTTATCCCAAATAGACATTTTACGTTATTGTAATTAAGTAGCCTTTCTCACAAGGCTTGAAGTGTATTCCTGCAACTGGTTTTGTAATCCCCCCCCAAAAGGTGGAATTACGTACAGTGGTGCCCCGCATAGCGAGGTTAATCTGTTCTGGATTAACCCTTGCTGTGTGAAAACATCGCTGTACGGAACGGGGAAAGCCATTGGAACGCATTAAACTTAGTTTAATGCATTCCAATAGGTGCCAAAACTCACCGTTCAGCGAATTTTTCCCATAGCCGACAGCCATTTTCGCGCCCTCAGTAAGCGAGGGGAGGGCGCGAAAATGCTGCGGGCGGCCATTTTGGGGCTTCCGGCGGCCATTTTGGAGCTGCGGAACAGCTGATCGTCGGGCATCGCAAAGCAAAACTATGCGAGTTTTGCCCATAGGGGCCTTTGGTATGCGATCACAAAACCCTAATTGCTATGCGATTTCGTCGTTATATGGTGCGCTCGTTAAGCAAGGCACCACTGTATTGTGGCATATTGTCAGCAGTCTTAATTTTGTTGTTCTAAAGAAGAGATTTGTAAAGGGAGAGTTGTTCTAAAAGAGGATACCCAGGGTATTGTGGTAGGTTGATTGATTGAGGAGGCCTGGGTTGAATACTGCTCAGCCATCTAAGCTGATTAGGGGTGTGGAACCAGTAAAACCACTCCTTAAATCATCATCATTTCAAAACTCTGGATTATCAAGTCCAACCCATGTCATGGCGCCATAGTGACGGATCTAACCCCCAACCTCTGGCTCCCCAGCCAGATACCTGAAGAACTATTAAGCTATCTTATTTACCTTGAAAGCCATTAGGTTCCAATTTGACAGCACATAACAAAAGGAGGGTTGCACTTTTCTGAGTTCATAGGCTCTGTACAATGCCAGCTTGGAAGCAGTACAAACATGCATGCATGCGAGTACACACAACCAGCAAGCTTTTTACTTTGCTGGGTGGGAGTGGACAGTAATTGGGATGGTCTCTTTCCTCGTTACTAGCAGCAGAGGGGAAGAACAATCTGTATGAAATCACCAGAAGTGTAAAACCACACATGGGAACGGACCATACTTATTGGTTGTGAAAGACATTTAGGTTTTGCACTGCTAACATAATGGTTTTGATCAGAACAATTGCAGTAAATGTTATCAATAGCTTCTAAAAATCCCTGTGTAATACTGCTTTTATGGGATGCAGTGTATTTGCAACCCTGGGAGGAAGAAAATGCCACTTGAATCAAAATCATATCTATATTTTCATGTATTAGTGAATGTGATTACAATGCTGAAGCTTGTCAGTACTTTGATGGGGATGCTTAAAGATGTCATTGTGTGTACCTACTTTGGGAGTCCCCCTGAAGTTGATAAAACCTGATTCTGACAAAATATAAATGGAAAAAACAATTTAAGATTCTTGTAGAACCTTAACTGGCCAAATATCAGAACAAGGGCAGACAAAAAGGTCTAGAAATGGAAGCATATGTTGCTTGAAATAATGTTTCATTTTAAGATTAATATGTATCATATCTACTCAGAGTCGGTCGACTTGTCTTGATACATGCACTCCCTTTATATTTTAAAATTGGACACTTCCTCCTTGTACAGTTCACTTTGTCTAGTGGTACATTATTTCTCCAATGTCTTTCTTCACTTTGGTGAGCTAGAATATGCATTCTTCATTAGTTGCAGAGGCTGACTTATGTTTTCTTTTGTAGTATGTAGAGTATGAACCTTAGTTGATGGAATTTTAGTCAACTGTCCAATTTTTTCTTTGCATAGATGGTGAAGAAGACAAAAACCATGATGAAGAAAGCTCAGAGGAAAATGAATCGGTTGGGCAAGAAAGGCGAGGGAGATAGGCATGTCTTTGACCTGAAGCCCAAACATCTGTTTTCTGGGAAGAGGAAATCTGGTACAACCCAGCGAAGATGAGTAGTTGCAAGGAGATATTAAAAATGGCACTGCCTTTTATTGATTTACTAATGTATATTAAATAGTAAGAAAGGACGAGCTTGTGATGATTTTTTCTTATAGAATTATAAATGCTGTAACCCAGGTATCAGTTCAACCTCGTTTCCCATCAACGTGCAACCATAACTTTTCAAACAAGTATCAGTTTTCACATTACTGGGATGCCTTAACATCTGTATTAAATACTGTAAGACTTAGCAATGGGTATTCTATTTTGCAAAAATCCTATGTGTTAATACCTCTGTTGTGGGATTTGTGAAGCATTAGGTCTGAGCTTTTGAGTATTTCATGGTTATGAAACTGCAGTTGAAGCAATTTTTAAAAAATCCCAGCTCAAACAGCTGAGCAGCAGACCATATTTATGCAAGGCTTCTTTCACTGCCTGTCATCTCTATGGGGAGCTGGGGCAAGCCAGTTTAATTACAGGACCCTTTATACAACAAACAGTGCAACAGTGGTCTAACTGGTTTAAGGCAGGTTTGTCACTGAAAAACTTGTTGGTCTGCAAGAACACTTACAGATGCCTGATCTGATTTGCCTGTAGGTACAAGGATGTGAGATAGCAAGAAGGGCTTCTACCTAACACTTTATACTATTACTGCCTGTTTGACCAGGCACTAGGAAGTATATATAGCATAGTATGTTAACTGGTGACTTCAGCAGAGTTCATTTAGATTTCACAGCTCATCTTTTCCAACCTGGTGCCGCCCAAATTAGATGTAACACAAGTACTGTACAGCTGCAGCATCTCAGCAGTGGAAGTATTTTGAACAGTCCCTCCTTTTTTTCAAGTATCATCAGTTTCAGGAGAGCAACTGTTAAAGGGACGTGTACAAGCAGCCTTGGGGTATCTGAGACATTTCAGAAGTTGTGGATCACATTTTTCTCTGGTGGGAAAGTACACGTTTATGTCATCTTGTATTTCCTCACAATTACTACTTCCGTAAACTAACCTGAAACTGATCCTAAGTTGCTGAAAGTTAAAGATGGCACAAAAAAGGGTTTCACCTCTATTTTTTGGTGAAGTGGTTATTGTCATGTTCTTACAGTGTACAAATTGATCCACAGCATTTTAAAACGTCTAGATGTTTTAATTATTAAAATACACCAATGGCTTTTTCTATATCAACAGTTTGTCTGGTAATGTACAATTTTCCTTCTTTAGTTATAGTTAAAACCAAACAGGTTCAGTTGTTTTCAAGGTGCTAAGAAGGTTCATTTTTGACAGTTTGTCAGAATCAGTTTCTTTCCTTTTTAGAGGAAGTTAATTCATAGAAGGCAGGCACATTTGTAATCTGTTGGTGCACATATCCTATCTGTACATTTCTAATTTTGAAATACTATTTTTATAATAACAAAACTTATTTTTCATCATACTTAATGTGCAAACAGATACAGCCAGAGCAACTATTAGAGCAATTAATACCACATCCACAAATTACCTTTTATCTTGTATCATCAACTATCCAGAGTACTAGAAACTTAAATATGAAAAAGTATTGTAGACTCTTGTTAATTTAACCATTCCAGTCATTGTCCTGCACTGTGTACCCAATCTAACTGAACAGCTGATTACAAACAACCCACCATCCCACACAGAGAAAAGAGAGAATCTGAGAACAATGCACTTTTTCATCCCAATTGATAACATAGCAAATATTCAGCCTCTAATAGTTATGCAAAGAAATGCAAACAAGATAATGCCGGCTTGTTAGTAATCCAACTCACAAGCTAATGAAATGAAAGGCAGATTTGAGCCTTCACCCAAGCCATCCAGATCATGCCGTATATAAAAACAAATCTCCTTAGTCCTGAAGGGACTACTACTTACTTCAACAACTATGTTGCAATCATCTTTACAAATAACATCCCAGTTTAATAATCCATGACATATTTGAAGGTAATGTCTCACTTTAGATTTGTACATTCCATGGTCCATTACATTCGATGTATCTTATCATGTTCAATAAATCTCTTCAAATTATTCAAGTTATCCCACCACTTAAATAGAAAAGTTTCTGCAATTAGCTTGAACCATGGAGTAATCTTAATTTCATTTCTGGAAGCCTTTTCCAGTAGTTCTCTCAGTTCCTCTTGTGTAACATAGCAGTAGCTTTTAATTTCATTGGGATCTGGATTCAGTGTCACATTCTTCTGCACAAACAGAATGTAATCTATTTCGTGTTCTCCCCAGATCCCATTAGAGCGGGCTTTGTAGTGAATTCGAGTTATGTAGAGAAGTTCTTCTGGTGTCACCTGCAATAAAAATAATTAGTAAAACTAGTAGTGATAACACAGTCCTGCAATAGTTCAGTTTTTTAAAAACTGGATATCTTTCCAGGACCTCTCAAAACAATCCTGTTCAAAGACTTCCAGGTGACACAGTTCTAAGCAATGGAGAGTAGCACAAGGAACAAAAGCTCTGCTGGTCACATGAGGAAAATGTTCTCTAGTTACCACACCCCCCCATTATTGCTTTTTCCCCCCTGGTCAGATGACACAGGGTGAAGATTGAAACAACAATTTCCTGGCAAATGGTTTAACTGCAGTTTATTTTCCACTCTCTGGGAGGGTTGTGTTATTTTGTACCTCTGTTGTATCAGTGCATTTCTTACCAGAATTGCCTGTGTGCATGATCTCCCCCCCCCCCAATTTGCCCTAGGATGTATACTACAGTGGTGCCTCGCTTAATGACATTAATTCGTTCCAGTGAAATTGCTGTAGAGCGAAAACGTAAAGCAAAAATAAAAAACCCATTGAAACGCATTAAAACCCGGTTAATGCGTTCCAATGGGCTAAAAACTCATCGTCCAGCAAAGATCCTCCATACGGCGGCCATTTTTGGTGCCTGTAGAGCGAGGAATCCATCCCTAAGCACAGTGGGGAGCCATTTTGAAACCCCAACTATCAGCTGTTTTGATCGCCGTAATGCGAAGAATTGGTTCCCTGCTTCGGGAACCGATCTTCGCAAAGCGAAAAAAAAAAACATTTAAAACATCGTTTTGCAATCGCAAAAACATCATTGTGAAGCGGATTCGTCATAATGCGGGGTAATCGTTAAGTGGGGCATGACTGTACATGACTGAGAATCAGTACTACAGAGGTATGGAAAGCATCGGAAGGACTAGAGAACATTTTCCTCATGTGACTAGGGCCTGAGTTACAGAGCTGCCTTCTTTCTGGGCACCTACCAGACACACTCTGCTCTTCAGGAGTCTGCAGGTGTCAGTTGGAGCATGCAGGATGTCTCAAACTGCAACTTTGAGGCTTTGATTTATCAAACTAAAGTGTTCTAACTCTTGTATATGGGCAATTTTAGCTAAACACCATAATTTACCTGTTCCAATGGAATTCCTAATTCTGCTTTCAGTCGCCTCTGTGCTGCTCTTCGAATGCCAATTGCATTGTTTTCTTCCAGTTCTAGTGGGTTGCTTAGGGGATGACTGCAACAAGTGTTGGTAAAGCAATCTACAAAAGAGTTTGTGGATTCAGTTTTAACGTGAGATAATAGCATTTCAAGCTGCCAAACACTTGAGGGGACCGACCCTCAGGAAAAGGCCTCGTTAGCCACAACAAATACTATTTTGCTGTAAATAAATCTCATAACACAATAGCATACAGTGTGCTATTCAAAGTACCGCCCATCAGCAGAAGCCAATCAAAGCATAATTTCCATAAAAGGATAATTTTATCTTATTTTTTCCCACTAATTCATGAGTATTTTTTCAAAAAGCAGCACTAGAAAATGCCACTCATTATTTCAGTTCTGTTCTCTAATATACACATTGATTCATCATAATCATGCTAAATAGACAAAAAATAATTCATTGTACAAATAGAGCTGGTCCATCAGAAATCTTTGTCAATCTCAGCTGCCTTCTATATAGGTTGAAAAACCAGTTCAGAGACCTTTCAGAAGAAATTAATGCTGCTGCTTGCCAAGTATCTACTTATGTACAAAAGGGTTTCTTCAGGAAGCATTTAAATTTTTCTTGATAGTCTGATCTGTTCTGTTAAGCTCTACATGTTTGCTTGGGGACATAAATTTCAATGTAGCAAAGGGTATATGCTAGGAAATAACAAACCTGGGAAGGTGATCTTGGCATCTGACCTCTGCTGCAAAAGGAGTTTGTTCTCCGTATTGAACAGGAATACACTGAATGCACGATGTAGCAATCCTAGCACAGAGATAGGCAATAAGCTTTGAAAAAAACTACTGTATGCTACAAGCAAAAAGGAAACTTCGCTCATGTTTCATTTAACACCAGATTTTTATTTAATAACCAAAGTTTAGCAAAGAACCAAACTACTTCCGTTCTCATTTTAAACATGATGGCATCTTACTCTTACAGAACTCTCCAAAGGAACTGAAAAGTTATTCAACCAAATAGTAGATTTAAATACACATGCAATCGTTCTTTATAAGGGAGACAGTAGCCTAAAATAAAAACGGTTTGTCCGCTCAAAACAAACATAATGAACAAGGACAATGTACTGATAGAAAATGTAATTATGAAAAATTCCTTACACACCTAGTTGCTCTCCACGGCAACAATCCTGTTCGTTATTTTAAGGGAAGTCCAAATCCTTTTAAAACGTCAGATACTGATGATTTTATTAAACCAGTGTTTTCCACCATATGGGTTGCACAGTATGCTTTCCTCAGATAAACTGATCCAGAGCTACCTTAGTTTAACAACAGTTGTCCCTTCATATTTTCCTTCTCCCCACAATATTCAACAGGATTACTATGTTTATCCTTTCTCATACAATGGAACAATATACAGAGACAACCTTGCGAATATCAAGGTAGGGTATGAATTCATTCTACAGTGGTGCCCCGCAAGACAATGTTAATTCATTCCGTGAAAATGGCTGTTTAGCGAAAATATCGTCTTGCGAAATGCGGTTCCCCACTGGAATGCATTGAAATCCATTGTATGCATTCCAATGGGGACAAATTGTCATCGTGTTGCGAAAATTGCCCATAGGAAAACCATTCTGCGAAGCGCGGATCAGCTGTTAAAATCGTCATCTTGCAAAAAACGGTCCACCCCGCCATCTTGCGAAGCACGGACCAAAACATAATCCAGCAGAAAATGCCCATAGGAAACACATTATGCAAAGCGCTATAGCGATCGCAAAAACTCATCATCATGTGGATTCATCATTTTGAGAGGTAATCGTCTCGTGGGGCACCACTGTATTACTATATGCATATCCCTCACAGTTAGTCATAGACAATTACAGTGGTGCCTCACAAGATGGGCATTCCGTTTAAAGATGAATCCGCATTACAAGCTTTTTGCGATCGCAAAACGATGTTTTGAATGGGGGAATTTTGCTGCGCGATGATCGGTTCCCTGTTTTGGGAACCGATTTTCGCTTCCCGACGATCAAAACAGCTGGTTGTCGGGTTTTCAAAATGGCCACAGGGTGCTCAAAATGGCTCCCCGCTGTGTTCAGGAGCCATTTTTCACTGCACAGGCACCTGAAAATGGCCGCCCCTATGGAGGATCTTCACTGGACGGTGAGTTCTTAGCCTATTGGAACACTTTAACCAGGTTTTAATGTGTTTCAATGCCTTTTTTATTTTCGCTTTACGTTTTCGTTCTACAGCGATTTTGCCGGAACGAATTAACGTCGTAATGTGAGGCACCACTGTATACGAAGCAGCACAACAGGAAAGTGTAGGAAGCTCATAATCCTTTAGTTATCACTTCTAGTCTTATGCAAAACAGAAGACTACTACAGACTGTGTGTCTTGATTTGCAGGAGAGTTTCCTCCCTTTTCATGAAGCCAGGAAGCAGTCACAGAATGAATAGTTAAGCCTTATTATTTGCTATTTGGGATACATCTACCCTGTTTTCCCAAAAATAAGCCCTAATATGATTTTAGAGGATGCTGATAATGTAAGTCCTATCCCAAAAATAAGCCCATTAAATGAAACCCTGCCTCCCACCATTGTGCAGCAACCAAAGATGACATGACCATATTTTAATAAATGCAGATTTTCATACATTAAAAAAAATCCCCTGAAAATAAGCCTTAATGTGGTTTTGGAGCAAAAATATAAGACCCTGTCTTATTTTTAGGGAAACACAGTATGAAGCCATCAGGCAGAAGTATATAGAGACAAGGCAAAGTGGAAGGGCAAGCCATATAATTTTACTTTATACATAACATGTGTCTCACTTGGGATACCACAGGAATTAGTAACAAAGAAGTTAGTAAGCCCAAGTTGCTTTTGAAAGAATTCTACTAATTCAAACATATGCAAGACTCACCTCTCTAACTTCACTCTTCTATTCTTTTGTCTCGTTGCCTCCAGTTCTATTTTGCAGTATTATTGTGCAAGCGTACACATATATTGTAAATACCTGAAGGCAAGACCTATGTTGCAAGTACCTGGAGGACTTCCCTTTGCCTAGCCCTGCTCCACATAGTGAGGTGCATTTGTCCTCAAATCAACTGGAGTGTTTGGCCAGAATCATATTATATACGGAGGTATTTGAAATATTAAAAAAATTACCTTTGTCAATATTTTGATTCAGATGGCAGTTTTTCTTTGTATCTGAGCCAATTCTGTTGTCATTTTCATCAATAAGGATACACATTTCTGCCAGCAACTGCACTTGCTGCTCATCCAGATCCTCTGTGTTTATTTCAGGCATGATTGCGGTATGGATATTCCTAGAAAGAATAATTATCAGAAAGAATTGATCACATTTATTCAGAATCACCCAACCACAATTATACAATTCAAGAGGTTTTTCAATACCATTCACAATTAGCATTATACAAGTCAAATGAACAAAGTTATTACTGGCTCTCATAGGCATCCTTCAGTCTCGAGAGACTATGGTAACATGCTCTGAATGGTGGAGTGTCCTCTCCAGAGCATGACGCCTGGGTAAAATAATATGCGGGATAGGCTGTTACCCAAGCAGCAGATCCCCCCTCTCCACATTGCTGAAATGATCCAATGGAAAGGCAAGAGCCAATACAACTGGTTCCAGCAACGTCGCAGGAGTTGGCAGAACGACACAAACTGCCTTCGGGACTCCAGCTCCGGCTAGTGACAGGGAAATGCTATATTATACTTGTTAAAGTGTAAGCAACAACCTCTAGGACTTTCCAAATATTAAGGTAATTTCAGTATTCCTATCATTTTGAACAGTAAGATAATGCCAGTTTTAGTCCTCATGCAATATTCCCATTATTAGGTTTGGAGTGCCCTGTGCACAGCATGTATTATCTACTCACTAATTGGTTTAACTTGTGTATCCTAGCTGTTCAAGAAAATATACTGAACACCACAGGATGTTCTGCAGTGGTCGTGCATCCTACATTTCTTCCTACACTGTCTCCAACCCCACTTGCAGGTCTAGCTATTAGCTCATCTAGTTCAGTGTTGTCTACCCAAATCAGGTCTGTTCAAGGTTTCAGCTAGGCATCTTTCCTAGCTTCTGCCTGAAATAATTTTGGACTGAGCCTGAGACCTTTTGCATGCAAAGAACATGATTTACTTCTGAATTATCTTCTAAGAGAAACTGAACAGTAAAAGGCAGCCAGACAAGCGCAAAGCAAACAAAGGAAGCAACAATATCCAACAACTCTTAGAGCCGTGTGTTGTTCAATGCCCATTACTGATCCTTATTATTTCTGAAAAAAACATTTAAAATTTGTTGCCAGCAGAAACAATGTTCATAAATGTTGGGGTGGGAAACCTCTGACCCACCAGATGCTTTAGAATGATTATAACACCCAGAACATCTAGAGGACTACAGATTCCCTCTCACCACCTCTAAACTCAAGCTTATTGAGGATGCACTGGTAGAAGAATCAGTCTACCTCCCCATTCTTGCCTGTGATAAAGCATTTAAAAGTAGCAGGTCGTGGTTCTAACACGTGACTCCTTACTTACCACCACACACTGCAATAACTGTTTCTGTCCAGTAGCCACTCACCACTTGCTCTCACAGCATCTAAACACAAGCCTGTTGAGGATATGGCCCTGGAGTAAAGACTGAAAAAAGTGCTCTAGACTAGAGCCAACCTGATCTCCCTGGTGAAACGTAAAACAAACTTTGGGTGGGGGGGAGTAAAAAAGAAAATTCACAGAATGTTTGTGCATCCCAGTTCAAGATCCCCCTCGCTTTTGTGATTCTCTCATGCACACACACACACGTGTGAAACTAAATACTGTCTGTCAGTCAACTCTTTCTGAGGCAAATTCTCAACAAAACACTTGTACAGAGATCTAGTATATATTTCCGGGCAAAGAAAAAAGCAACCAAAGTCGGTGGCTTTTAACGTCCCACAGACTCAAGTCCAGCTGGGCGCTGCAAACAACACACAAGGCGGAACGAGACGTCTTTTCGGGTCGCGGGGGGGGGGGGTTCTCTCTTAAAGCCCCTG